GGTACAAAGTGAGCTGGTTTCATTTCCTGAGCTGGTGCAGTGATGTTCTCCCTGGAGTTGCACTTGGTGCATTCAGAGAGGTTGGAGGTTTTAATGAGAGTTAACAGTAACTCTGGAAGGTATATGTTTTTGAGTTGTTTTTATTTTGAACCAATATCTTTTAAAATTGATTTTGTTAGAAAGTGAGATTCCTGTCTTGCTGTTCTCCTACAAACTGCAGTCAAACCTTCCCTCGGAGCCACACAAACTAAGGAATGCCAGCCTTCAAAGAGCCCTTGGCTTCACGCTTCCAAAGTGAAATCAGGAAAGCAATAGTTGTTTGTTTTCAATTATATTACAAATTTCTTGAGAAAAACAAGGATCTTCTTTTTCTATAATTATCCAGTTTTAGAATTATGCAACTGTAAGTATTGCAATCAGGTTAAAAAATAAACCCCAAACTCCTGACCCTACTTAGAACTCTTTAATTGCAGTCTAATCAGAAGTCCACTGTTGCACTTACGTATTTTTGTCTGTTCTGAGCTGTGACATCCCTTCACCTTAACTAGTACAGTGATGTAAATATTTCTCTTTTCAAACTTGAATTGTATGCTGATGCAGTGTTTCAAGAGATAATTGCTAATTACTATCTGTTATGAAATGGGTGTAGTAAGAATATTTATTGAACCTTTCTGTGACCTTCCCTTCCACAGAACTGAAAAGAGACTTAATATGTCCATTACATCCCCTCAGCATATTATGATAAAGTAATTCTGATTAACTGCCCATGGAGGGTCAGCAACAGCTGATGCCTCGAAGCTACACTAATAAGGCAATTAAAAGCCTAAACACTCAGTGTCCCAGGTGTTGATACTCCAGGCATCTACAGAGGCAGAGCGTGAGATGGGCCTGGTCTCCGAAAGCTGTCCGGTTGGTTTTGGGGTGAGGTGTCCAAACCTATTCTTGGCATGGATTATTTAACATGTATATAGCTCATTGTGAATAGTGATCGTCACACTTTTCACAACACAATTTTGAGTTTTAAGTTGAAGTTGTTAGCTTAAAAGCTTATTTTGTTAGTGGCTTCTTTTTCATAGTATTGAAGAGCTATAAAGCATTTCTAATTTTCATGCTGAAGGAGACATAAGAGGCAGAGAAGCTTCCTTGTTCCTACAGAAAACTTCGAAGAATGTCTAATGTAAAATGTGGCATATTAAAAAAAGACTGCAGTATAGCCTTTTATGAAGTTGATGTTGATACTTAGCTCTGTATGGTTTCATTTCACCAAGGTAGCTACTGACTTCAACTATTTTAAAACATTTGTATTGGAGATGTGTGGCTTCTCATATTGAATTCTGAAACCTTGTGTTTGTTTCAGTCTGAAGTTCCATGTTCCTTCATGAGAGCACAGTATGCCCTTTAAAGGCACGTGTGATTAATCCTGAAGTCATTCTTTATGCACTAATGACTTCCATAATTGTGTCAGAACCTTGTATTGTGCTCTACATAATTGACTACACCTTCCAAAGCTTAGTGTAACTGGTGGCTGGGGGTTGGCCGCTGCGTTGTGTATGGATTCAATAGAAACAGGGTGATTCATTAGGCTTCAAATTTGTGAAGTTTTTTCTTGCAGTTTTTTTTCCCTGTCGTGCCTTCCCCATTTACAAGGTTCACGGGCAGTAGTTAAAAGGTTACAGTTTGCTTCTGCTTCCTTTGCAGGCGTCTCCTTGCAACCTAAACCCAGGTTCTGTTCCAGTCTTTACTTGGATAAGTCTCTGTACCCTGTGTATCTTCAGAGAGAAGTGGTGTGGGGCTGTCGAGGTGTATCTGTGGTGTGACATGGTGTATGCTCTGGATTGGGTGGTTTTCTTCCTTGAAGCTTTTTTACATCTGTTTAGTTCTGATCCAGATGAATGTAGGTGGAATGTCCATTTTTCTTTTTCTGGGTTCTTTCCTGGTTTCATCTCATCAGCGAAGAGATGAGTTCATGCGCACTCGGGCCATGGAGTGGACTGTGGTGGGGTCAGTCGGGTGATGTAGAACCTGGCTTCCAAGTCGTATTCCTGATGTGAGCTGCAGGAGTCACCCTGGGGTGTTTTCCTCTCAGTGCTCAAGCCCCTCCACTGCAATTTGTGTTTGCAAAGCAAAGAGGAAACCAGCAGTTCTAGCGAGAGGGTTGGGGATGGGTCTGAAGATGAGGGAGTGTGGTGCAGGTGATGGGGAAAATCATGGCTGCGTTCGCCCCCTGTGGGAATGAGATGTTCTATGTCTTTGGCTGTTCATACAAGGCTTATGGCACAGTGTGATTTATTTGGTTGGGTGTTTTTTTTTTTTTTAAAGTGAAAGGCAGTGGTCTGGATTTTGCTTCACATAAACGTAAATCAAAATTCTGGGATAGCTCTGTCCATTTTGGGGGGCAGAAGGCTACAGGGAGATTCTTTTTCTCTAACTTCAAATTATAACTATAGGAAAAGACAGTATAACATTTAATTTTTACTGGCATTTACTAAAATACTTTATTACATCATTTTTCAGAAATATGAAGTCATAATGTTTTAGGGTTGCTGAGTGAGCAAGGTGTTTCTCATGGTCCAAGTAAAAATTGAAACACTGCACTTGGTTAGTGCAAAACAAATTCTGAGAATGTGTAGTTCAGACATTTATCTTGAGTCGGTGACAAAAATGCAGACACGTAGCAGCCTAGATGAAAGACAAATGTCCATTTCAAGTCTATTCTGGAAATCTGTACACGTTGAAGTGGGTGGCATGTTTTGGAAAAAAAAAAAAGTGCTGCATTGTACCAAACCTCATTAGACTTGTAATGAACAGTAGAGGCTGAGGAAGAATGTTCAAACAGCTGAAATCTCTATATATTGAGCTGCATTTCAGGAGGCTCTCAAATAACTACTCTTCCTTCTTGTATTTTTTTCATTTTATGATCAAATACATAGTGTGCCTTGGCTGATGTTTTTGACTGTTGCCAGTAACAAGGATGATTTATAATACTTGGCACCACTGTAATCATGGTGTAAACTATTCCCAGTTGTGCTAGGTGATCATTATACAGATCTCTGCTATGTGAGGGTTTCTTTTCCTAGGTGCCTGTATGTTAAAAATACTTAAATTAGAAATTTAAGTGCCAAAAGAGTGGGTGGAAATTTTAAAAAGTAAGACTGTATTGTTTGGCAGTTTGAACAATACGGTATGGCAAGACTTTGTGGTTTCCACATAACTTGGGTTTAAATGATGGTGGCTTGGGAGTTCTGACAGTTTTTATGTCAACAGTTTTGTGGTGGAAAAACACGGCTATGTCAGCAGCATGAGAAGTGTTGGGCATTTGGGCACGTGCATCTAGGAGCAGTATGGGGATGCTGGTAAACCTGGCAGCACAGCACGTAGCGTGGAAGAAGAGAATTACCTGGATTACACTTCTGATTATTGAAGTACTTTTCCCATAACGTTGACATCAAAAGGTGGAAGGCTGAGCATGTTAATCTGCAGCCACCAGTTCACACTTAAGAGGTCTCAGCTCCTTTGGAGTTTGTGGTGGCTGGAGCTGTGGTCTTGGTAGCGAAATTGTGAGGATTAGAAGGTAGTTTTTAAAGGTACCAGTGTGGTTGGTTAAGTGTTCAAGAGGCCAGGTATAAAGTGTGTTTCTCTGTTTTGGGCAAAACCTGAACGTTATGTAGCTTCTCTTGAGGCTGGACCATGGGAAACACTGAATTTCTTTTTAATGGAGCAAATGCATTTACTGGCTTTCTGTTCTATTACAGCTGTTTTGAGGATACTACCAGGGGTTTTCTTCTCTCCAGGTGCTATAATGAGCATAAATGTAAATTAAAGAGAAACCCAGAGACTGGAATAACTGAAATTATTGCGAGTGGCATTCGTTAATTGTGTGGGAGCTCCCATGGAAGTACCTGCTCCTCTTGGATAGGAGCAGAGGAACTGGGCTGGCCCCCGGCTCGGCTTCCTCAGCGCTCAGCTCTGGGCAGGCTCCACAGCTCCTCTGGCTGTTGCAGATGACATCATGTGGAGCTGATTTCCTTCTTTTCCATGTGTTCACTTACTTTGTGTGGGGCAACCCCGTCAAATTACTAATGATACTCTGAATACCTAAAGAAATATGTTTAGTGAAGTGTTTGCAGGCATACCAGTGGTCTGTAGAAATGTGAAACTTAGTAAGTTGTGGTAGACATAACATGGGATGTTAAACTTTGCATCTTGAGCTGCTCTCTTTTTCTCCTTTCAGAGATGTTTATTTGTTTCTGCTGTCCTCCAGAAGAATTAGGTTGTTGCTTCCTTATCTGATTAAAGTGTTTACAGAGGCAGCATTTGATGTGATAAATGAGAAAGGAATTGAAACTAAATAGAAAGTTAGTATATTACAGAGTTTACACTTGGTAGTACTTGGCTGCATCTGTGCTATTTTCTGAAACACTAACTTTTCATTTTCAGTCTTAGCTTATATTGAATGTTTGTAGAAGTTGCAAAATGGTCATGAAACAAAATTATATGTGTAGCAAAGATGGGAAGCCTGAAAGCTGAAACTCTAGAGAATTTTTAAGTGATTTCCTTCCAGGAACTTAAATATCAGGATATTAATAAGAACATGTCTAGAGCACCCAGAAATTTTATAGGTGAAGTAAAACTTGCATAGGGACATGAAAGAGGTTGGAGACTGTGGGTGGGTTTTTTGTGATGCTTGTCTGGATTACCTACAAGTTGCTTTTATTTATAATTTGCACCACCTTAAAAATGTTGGGTTTTTTTTTTCTGATTTGAATTTTTGTTCAGATTTAGAAGTTTCAGCTGATTAGGTTGAAGAATTTGCTATGTTTAAAAAAAAACACACAACAAAAAACGAGCAACAACAACAAAACAAGCATTATGAGCTTGAGAACACCCCTGTACATGTACAGTAATGCAGTTCCTTTTTTTCTTTCAGAATTTCCAGCACTGGTGTGGTTTTGAATTGGAACAAAGGGATCATCTTCAGGTTCTTTGAGTAAGGAGCAATAATGCAGCGAAGGCAGGGAAGAGTCAGTGCTGGGCTGCTTTTATTGCTTTATCAAATTTCTCAAGTTGGACTGGAGAACATTCCTCCTGTCACCCTTGGGGTGCTTGCAGTGAACATTTTCCTCTTCCTGAACCCCGTGAAGCCGCTGTCGGAGGCGTGCATCAGCGTCAGCGAAGGCTTCTACCGGCGGGACTGGCAGCGCCTGCTGCTCTCCCCCGTCCACCATGCGGATGACTGGCACCTCTATTACAACATGATTTCCATGCTTTGGAAGGGGATAATGCTGGAAAAAAAGCTTAAGAGCTTATGGTTCGGATACATAGTTGTGGTGTTTTCAGTGCTGATTGGAGTTGTTTATATGGTGCTGGAATTCACGCTTATGAAATTTCTGGATGATCCTTCGTACGAAATGAATTGTGCTGTAGGCTTTTCAGGTAAGGCACAGAGTTGGTCCAATTTAGATCTGTAAAATTACTGTTTATAGGTAGTATATGACAAAGTTAAATGCAGGAAATGGGTAGGTGTACATCCATGTACATGTACAGAGCTGTTATGTCAGTGAAGTTACCCTGCTTTTTCATTTAAAGCATGTGCTCTGGGTATGAATGTGAGGTAGGTCTGGTTACGTTCTTGTGACCAGCAGTGTCTTTACCCACAAACACAAAAAATACAGTCATCCCAGTAAAGGTGTTTTCCTACATGTTCCTATCTGCCCATACCTTGAAACAGCTTAGCATCAACCCAGTTCTTACCTGTCATGGGAAGGGTGAATATTTTCAAGAATTTGCATTAAGAGTTCTTCGTCCCTGGGAACACAATACTACCATGTAACTGGGTAGTGTTGAGATTTCACTGTAAGGTTTCTTTTTTCCCCAAATTAGTCTCCAGCTTGTCACTTAGCTGGGTGGCAAATTAAGTGCCCCTTTCTTGACACAACAGAGGGAAAGTTGGATTTAGTGATAAAATTGTTTGGGAGATGCAGGTTTGTGCCTTCCTGTACTCTACATCAGCAGGGACCAAGCTGTAAGAAACAATCTGCATATTTATGACCTAGTCACTTGAACAGGTTTTAAGAGTTTTAGGGTGTCTGGATTGTTTGGTTTGCTTTAAATAATTTATTTTAAATGGATGGAACAGACCTGCCCCTTGTCCCCCTGGATGGAATCTAACACACCAGATCAGGTGGTTCCAATAAACACTTCAAACTTAAAAAGAAATTGAAGCTGTGCAGATAGACTTCTGGTGAGCCAAGGGTCGAATTGGTGAAGAGGACTCCTAAACTATGCTGCTGCTAGCAACTTACTCCTGTGTTTGATCAGCAGCAAATAACATGAACAGGTGTTAATGTGCATGTTTGATCCTAAAATAACAGTATTTACATCACTAGAAAGGTGAAGGAATTCTGCTTTCTCTGGTTTTCTGTGGTGTTAGAAGGGGAGTGAAACTTTTTCATGGTTTTATTTAGTTTGTCTGTATTGATGTCCAACTCTGCTACCTTTTCCATGTCAAATATTCTACTTCTCAATTATTTTTTTTTTCAGACAACTGTGTGAGCTTTCCCTTGAGAGGAACTTTAACAAAAACATTTTGAAAGTTCTGATAGATAATGTGAATTCATTTTGTCATTTAGGCCACTGCTTGCATGATAAAATGGTTGCAGTCAGTTGGAAATGAGTGATTATTTATTGTGATTTAAGGTGATTTCTGTTTTTTTTCAGAAACGTGGTTCTGGAGAATATGTAAGATTTTCCATTAATTCAGTATTTGAGCCTACTGTTGAGCTTCCTGTGTATCTGCCTTATTTTCAGTAGTGGCTTTTCTCAACCGATGGAGCGGGTTTTTTTGAGTTCAATAATTGTCAGTAATTTCAACTAGTACTCCCATTTAAAACTTATGTTTGTATTGTTTTGAACACCTGAATAGCTACAGTGAATAGGCATATTAAAAAGCAACTTAGACTTGGCTGCTACACAAATATGTAATTTTTTTTTTTAAGTCACTGACTGAAACAGCTCTGAAGTGCTGTTCTGGCATGTAACAGCGTGCTTCATGGTGCTGTGGAATCGCATGGCACTTCAGTTTCAGTTCTTTATCATTTGGGCTCAGGGACTCTTTTTTCATGTGATTTCTCCTTGTTTGCAGGAGTTTTGTTCGCTCTGAAAGTTCTCAACAACCATTACAATCCAGGAAGAATCAGCAATGTCCTTGGCTTACCCATACCCAGCAGATACGCGTGTTGGGCGGAGCTGGTGGCTATTCATTTAATTGCCCCAGGGTGAGTGTGTTTTCTATTTCAAAGTTAGAAGAGATGTGGCCTCTCTGAAGTACTTTGAACTGATAAACTTAACTTTAAAGACTGATTCTTCTGCGCCCTGGCCTGGAGCCCTTGGTTAAAGACAGCAGAACTGCAGAGTGCCCTGTTGCAAATGCACTTCTAAGTGTGAGCTGAAAGGTCACTTGTATGCCATTGCCACAAGTATAAACCCAAACCTTTCAGTCCTTTAAAACCATTCTTCTGAAAAATAAAAGCTGTTGTATTAGCTGGATGTCATCTTTATTTGGTGAGATATTTAATACTATTTAGTTTATTAAGGAGTAATGGAACAACATTATGCCTACAGTAAAAAAAAACACCAAGCATGTTTTCTATCTGATAGAGGGAAGATGAGTTTAGTGGTTGGCTACTGTTGGTTTTCAGTTGCAGTACTGCAGAAGTGTCTTCAGGGTTGAAAGATTGTAGAAGGTCCAGAAATCATGTCAAAAACATTGTCATAGGTTTATGGGAGTTTAGATTGCTGCCTGGTCTAAAGAACCTCTATGTTGTTACCTGCTATCTTGATAGTTAGGACAGTTCCACAGCACATAAATGATAATGGGTGCTGTATAAAACAAGCAATAATCTCCAGAAATTCATGTCCTGGAACACAACATGTTTAATTAGTAACTGCCAACTGCCTTGAAATGAACCATAATTGTTCCAGCTCTCAGAGCATTGCTCCTAAGTGTTCATCTGTGCACTCCAGGCTTGTAGTATTTGGAAGTGTCTGATTAATTGGTGTCCCTTTGTAGATCAAGTTGCATAACTCAGTTGTAAACACATAAAAGGTCAGGAACTGGGGCAGAATTCTGTTCAGTCAGAAAGACCTGCAATAAATGCCTTAGTAGAATGATGTGTCAGGATCACCTGAGAATCCATAGCCAGTGAAGGATTCAAAAATAGTACTGAGGCTATTGAAAACCTAGACTTGTGTGCTAGCAGAGGATCTAGGGGTTTACTGCCATCTCTTAATTCTGGTTTTTCTTCTTAATGCTTTTGTTATGAGGAAATTTTCAAAGACATGTAATACCCTTCTCATCTTTGCCTCCTGTAAAGCTAGAGCTGTCGAGATGGAGACTTTGTATAGCAGTGCTTGGGATGGTTTCTTTAATGGAACAGCAGGCATGCAAAACATCTTATGTTTAATCTCTGTGCCTCTTCTAGAATTGGGCAGGTGGTATCTTGAGTCATCTGTCCCTCTGGCACAGGAGTGCTGTACCTATCCTTGCTTTTAAAGGAAAGGCTTATCTTTCAGGTTGTCTGAACTACCAGAACAACAAAAAGCCCAACAAAAACCAAACATCAGAAGTTAATTTATTTATATGTGAAAATATAAGAATATTTTAACAAATCTGGTTTTAAATTTGGGTTATTTTGCCTTGTACCCATCTCAGTCTTAACCCTGGTACAGTGCCTGATATGAACACGAGTATTTTCCGTAGCTCTAATAAACTTAACCTCATGAGATCTTTTGGATGTATCTATTTTACTATTTCATCTCCTTTTCTAATTTGTCGCTTGTCTAACGCTTAGGGATGTCACTGAGTCATCACTGGTTATGAGTCACATTTACTGTAGAACTCTGTATTATGCTATTTATTGATGAGAACTGTTCCTCAGGAGCAAAAGGTCTGAGAACAACCCATCAACCAAAAAAAAACAGGTTTGGCAGCAAGGACATTATGTGATGAGAACCGTTTTTTCCAGCCTTTCATTCTTATGTAAACTCTGCTTATTTTTCCTATGTTATTTTCCCAAAATGTTACAAAACTAGTTACAAGTTTCCTATTTCCATTTAGAGAGGCAGTGGCATGGCTGTGTAAAACCAGCTGACTTTTATTTGTGCAATCATTTAATTTGGTTTCACTCTTGTTCAGTTGTTTAGCACTGGCACGTTGACTGCATGGCCTCCTTTCTAAGCAAGATTTGGGTTTGTGGTATGATGTTATGCTCAGGAATCAAGATGAGCATAAAATTTCAGTGCTAGGAATGCAGGTCAGTTGGTCTCATGTTGGTTATTTCTAGAGCAGACCACCTTGATGTGTTTCATGTTTGCTGTGGAGGTGAGAAATGCGGCAGCACTCCTGTGCTGCCAGCTGCAGCTACCACTGGGAATGGTGCTTCAATTCTGTTTCACCAGCACTTCACTTCTGCTTTACAAAGGCAAAAAAGCTTGTGTCGAGTCTTTGGACAACCAGGATAAATCCAGTCAACTGAGTTATTTAAAATTGCATGTAGAGGGAGACCTTAACATGTAGTGTATTGGCTTCTCTAACTTTGTGATAGAGGTGAACAACTTACAGTGTCTTAACTTGGTTAAATTCAAATTTTATGCTTAATGCTTAAACCTGATTTAACACAAAAGAGTTCAAGTCTTCATTTGACTGCTGAAAGACAATTGGTTTATGAATTTACAGGATGCCCATAGTCATGGCAACACTTGGAGCAAATCTTATTTACTGTAGCAGTTGCTGGAGGATTGATGTCTCAAAAGACTCTAGAGTCTCTGCCTTCCATATGCAAGTGGGTGAAAGATCATAATCTTGATTAAGGAAATCATTGGTATTTATAGGAAAATTTAGATCTCAGCATTTTACTCCTTTTCATTTCAAAGGCACAGTGTTATGAAGACTAGGAGGGATCTGCCCTCATGCCTGTCTTGGACTAAGTGCAGGACTGTGTGGACGGTGCTGCAGCAAGTGCTGGGTTCCTGTTTGCACTTGAAACTGTGAGAAGTTTTGTCAACCCTACCTGGGTGTTTCAGCATAATTCTGTGCATCTACTTTTTTATACAACAAAACTAGCTTTCTATCTTAGTAGGTCTTTAAATGCTTTTAGGGAAACAGCTTTCTGTCCTCCAAACAAGCAATTAGAGTGGTCTCTCCAGCTAGTTTCCAGCTTCTTCAGGATATTTGTTAGCTACTGTTGTGTAGCTGTATATTCCTATATACCAGTTTTAAGGCAGTTTTGAAGAAAGAAATCTCAGCATTGTGTCCTTGCTGGCAGGTCATTTGTCTGTGCTTGGTTTCACTCAAGAACTTCCTTGTTAACAAATTCCACACTCCCCTGTTCGGATACCTACAACAAAAGTCTCCTTTCCATTCCTGACAAGATTTTCCTGTTTTGCAGAACTTCTTTTGCTGGGCATCTGGCAGGGATTCTCGTTGGCTTGATGTACACTACAGGACCTCTGAAAACAATCATGAAAGCCTGTGCAGGTATTGAATTTTGTTCCATTTATAAGATATGCATGAGAGACTTACATTAAAATAAATGTTTTTTTGCAAGTAGAAACTGAGGCCATTCCAACAAGTTTTTAGGCAATGAAATATATGCTGATTATTAAAGTGAATGCAGACCAAAAAAATCACCTTTTTTTCTTAAATATTAAGAACCAGTAAATCTTCCAGATATTTGTAATTGCAGGGTAAGTAAAATTAGAGTAAAATGTTTCTCATAAGATGTCAATGAAAATGTCAGTGCAGTGTGGTGAAGCCATAGAAGTACAGCAGAAGATGATTTGTTGATTCCTGTGACTTGTGTCCCTTCTAGTGCAGGTCCCTGCAGATGGAAAAAAGGTTGTGGGCTGCTTGAGGAACTGTTACTGGAATTCTCAAGCTCTCCAACAGTGTGTTACTACAGACTTTGATATTGTAGTAATATTTTTTTTAAATAAGGATTTTGTCTTTGGACATCTTCAGTGTAACGATTGTTCCCAGTGCAGCCCCGCCAGCTTCTGTGTGAACGCTCCTGTAAACATCAGTGCTCCAGCTGGAGGCCCAAGCCCTGTCACAGCAGCTGTGCTGGAGTTTGTTCTCAGAATGTTTGGGGGTTTGTGTCTGGTAATTTAATAGGCTAAGTACTTGATTCCTCACTGTGCCACCAAGTGGACCATGGATGTGGTGTCTGCATGGTAGGAAGGTATTTGTTCAAATGCACGTGCTTTTCCCAGGAGGTTTGTGGCACTTTGGCCGTGCAGCCCGTCAGTCATACATCACAAAAAAACAGACTGAAGCATCAGGTTTCCTGCCCCACAGGAGCCAGCAGGTGTAACCTCTGTCACATCAGTTACACACTGGATGTTTCTGTGGCATGAGGAGTTGTCTGGTGGCCATTAGGACTGTCATGCTGCCCATGAGGTTCTGCAGCCTCTCTCCTTGGATGTTTTCAGGATGAAGCCCTGACTGAGTGACCTGATCTTATAGCCAGCCCTGCTCCGAGTGCAGGTGGGCTGGGGACCCTTCAGGTCCCTTCCACACGGATTACTCTGGGATTCTGATAAACCCCACAGTGCTGTGCTGCTAGTGACACCTCCTGTGGGCACCCTGCTGCACCTGCAGGGCACCTGCAGGAAGGAGTGTTCCAGGACACAGCTCATCTTTGTCTCCTAGTAGCAGTGGATTGTTTATCCAGCCCTGTTTCCTGGTCATTAACCGATTGTTACCTATGTGTGGTCTCAGTGCAGAAATTACTCTGTGCTCTGGAGGACATTGGTTAGGTTGGTTTGGATTTTTCTAGTCTACGTGGACGTGTTGCTTGGACACGGCACACTGCTATCAAATCTGGAATAATCTACAAGCTTAACAATTCTGTTTTCTCTGACAGATGCAAAAGAAATTCATTGGTACCTGTGGCTTTGTATTGGTATCTTACAAAACAGAAAGAGTACTTCCTAAATCTTAAGATTTGTGTAATTTATAAAGAAAGGCAATGTGATTATTTTATTCTAAAATAGTCCCTGTGTTCTGTTTAGGTGCCATTTCTTCATTCACTAACCCTGCCAGACCAAGGGACTACTATTCAGGTAAACGCTCTTCTTACCCATGTACCCAAAACCTTATTCCAGCCTAAAAGAGTAATTTTTGCTAATGATAGAAAACCTACGGATGAGCTTGTTAAATGGGAACATATATAACCTATTAAATAGTCTGCACACGTGTATACTTGCTAAGTTTGTGTTATATCTCTGGCCATGTCTCACCTTCCCTTTTTAGGGAACTGCATGGCTGTATTTTGCACGAGAAGCTTTAAACCCCAAATTAAGGTCATGACTTCATAAAAAGCTGCCCTGGGGAACTACTGTCCTTTCTGCAGAAGGTGTAACAGGGGGAAATTGTCTCCTGAAAGCAGCTTTTTGAACCTGGGTAGATCTGCCCCCATCTGGCAAATCTGTCATTTGGCATTCTAGGATGGTCTGGTGTTTTCCCCCCTCTGACAAGGAACTTCTTTCTTTGAACAGTTTCTATAAATCAAGCATTTACCTTGCAAGAAGGATTTTACATGTCGTTTTAGCACATCTGCTGTTTAGTAGCTGAGTTAGTCTTTCTCTAAATGCAGTTCATGGATAAAGTATTAGGATATATATTTTGATTAACAGCAACACCTTGAACACATCCATGTTACCAAAGTTTTTTGTTGTAAAATGAAGGACTGTGGGTTTCTGAGTGCTTATAACATGATAACAGTGTAAAATATCAAATGTACAAGAACTTAATGTGCTAGATTAAAATCCAAATGTGACATCCTTTCTTTTATCAGATCACTCCATGCTTTCAGCACTGGTATTTTTATAGTCTTTGTGCGGTTTGGAAGACTCCAGAAAATAAATTTATAGCTGAGAAAATGTTCATTGAGATTAACATAATGCAGAGGGGAATGAGGGCAATACAGGAGACTGCATCCAAAGTGTGTGTATGTTGTATGTGTGACACCCTAATGGCATCCTGCAGGCAGCTTGATTGTTCTGCAGAGTTGATTCTTAAACGTAGCCAGTATAATTAAAGGCTAAGTTTGGTTAAAAATATGACTGTAATTCAGATTAAGACCCCCAAATCCTTTCTAACCAGAGGAGTTGCCAATCATTTGAGAAGCAGCAGAATTTCAGGTTGTGGAGGATAGTACTAAGTGTTCACTGCAGGTGTGAATCTTCTCCCCATGTCAACTTCATGTTCCAAAATGGAGAAATCTGCAAATGGACAGAGCTATTTTTCCCCCCGTGTGTGTTATGTGTATCTGTATAGACACATCTGTGTGTGTTTAAAACATACAGAGGTGTTTGAGTAACACACACATCGGGGTATCTGCATGCTCCTGTACAGAAGAGTGTACAGTGACTGCTCAGTGTTTCCTGCTTTTGCTGTAGAACTTCCAGATAGGGGATTGCTATTTTTATTTGTCTTAAGGGCCTAGAGCTTGGGATTTTTTAACAACATTTTTTTTTAAAAAATGTCCTCACTTCATTGAGTGTGCTTGTTACTGGTCACAGAAACCTCACAAGAAGGCTACGTGTGGAATCTGTAAGACTCATGAGATAAGACAAGACTGCCATCGATGACAATAACCTGAAGATAATAGGAAGTGGGAGGTTGTGTTGGGTTCAGTGTGAATATTTACTGGATTATTTGTTCCTTTTGTAGAGTATTCTGGCTCTCCAGGTTACCAGTACAGGCCGTCGAGGAGCTATTACGATTACACTGGTGGGCTCTCTGAAGAGGAGCAGCTGGAGAGGGCGGTGCTGAACAGTCTGCACGAGAGAGGTGGGAGTTCTGCTGCATTCGGTGCCTTGAGTCCCGGCTCGTACTGGGGGCGGGGGCTGGGGGAAGAGATGTGTTGCTCACTACTTACTTGCCGTATTTTGGGCGTAACTTTGCAAACAGATGAAAGGTTCCTGGTAGCATTTTCAGAGAACGTGGCGTGAGGATGTGGTGTCATTCTCTGGGTATAATTGTTTACTGATAATTGCATTATTGTTTGATCAACTCACTACTGCTACAGTAAAAGAAGTGCTTTTATCACAAAAAACCCTCAACCTAAGTTGCTGTGCCAAAGAAATCAGTACTGTAAGAAGTGTTGCCCTGCGAGCAGCTCTCCAGCGGAGCGGCCGCGCGCGGCTTGTGTCCGAGGCTGCTGCCGGCTCAGGACGGAGCTCGGCCTGTATCTGCTGGGGTCAGCACCTGGGGGATGCACCACAAGAGAAAAACAGGAGCTCATTTTGCCACGGGTCAAACGTATGGAGGATGTTTGAATAGTTCAGCAGTCTGGAGTTGTGCCCCCCTGTGTGTAGTGGGGATCAGGACAAATGTGACCTCCCAGGGTAAGATCACATCTCCCACATCCATGCTCATTAGGTGTTAGGGTGTTCTTTTGGCAGTGATTTGGTGGTGTTTGGTTTGGGGATCAAATGCACCTTCAGTAAATTTGCAGATGACATGAAATGAATTGGGAGTGTCGATCTGCTTGATGGTAGGAAGTCTCTGCAGAGGGATCTGGACAGGCTGGAGCCATGGGCTGAGGTCAGTTGGATGAGGTTGAACAAGGCCAAGTGCCGGGTCCTGCACTTGGGTCACAACAACCCCAGGCAACGCTCCAGGCTTGGGGAGGAGTGGCTGGAAACTGCCTGGTGGAAAAGGACCTGGGGGTGTTGGTGGACAGCTGGCTGAACATGAGCCAGCAGTGTGCCCAGGTGGCCAAGGGGTCCAAGGGCATCCTGGCCTGCATCAGAAACGGTGTGACCAGCAGGAGCAGGGAGGTGATCGTGCCCCTGGACTCGGCACTGGTGAGACCTCACCTTGAGCACTGTGTCCAGTTTTGGGCACCACAGTGCAAGACGGACATGGAGGTGCTAGAGCAGGTCCAGAGGAGGGAACAAGGCTGGTGAGAGGGCTGGAGAACATGCCTTGTGAGGAGCGGCTGAGGGAACTGGGGTTGTTTAGTCTGGAGAAGAGAATAGTGAGAGATAGTGAGAGGAACCCTTATCGCTCTCTACAACTACCTAAAAGGAGGTTGTAGTGAGACTGGTGTTGGTCTCTTCTCCCAAATTACTGATGACAGAACAAAGGGAAATAGCCTCAAGTTATGCCAGGGAAGGTTTTGATTGGATATTAGGAAGAATTTCTTCACTGAGAGAGTGGTTAGACACTGGAACAGGCTGGCCCGGGGGGGGGGGGAGGCATTGGT